AAAACTTCGTAAAAAAGACTACGCTAATCAAAACTTCGAAAAAAAAAACTTTGCTAATCAAAACTTCGTAAAAAACACTGCGCTAATCAAAACTTCGAAAAAGAAACTGCACGATCATCATATATATATATAATTTAATGAAAATAATAAATGAAATTAAAATAAAATTGTAATTAAAATATAAATGACAATATTACAATTATAATATTATAATACTAACCTACAACAACAAGCATCATTTTCTTTTTATAGAAATGTTATGAAATACTTCCTTTTGGTTACACTGATAGGAAAATCAACTCGAAAAGGAAACGTTATCGGATGTTATCTGTATTTTGAAATTTGATCAGTATGTTTGATACTTAATGCATACTTGCATATCAATTTTTCTTCTACGAATCCTTATCACCTATTTTTTCTCTCTCTCTCTCTCTCTCTTTCTCTTCTAACAAAATTCCTTTGATAAATCACTTTACTCAAATTCTCACGTTTTTTTTTTTTTTATTCAATCGTTAAAATCATTTCATATTTTTTTATTTTTTTTTTTTTTTAATTGCATCATATTTTGATTGGGCGCATATTTATGGTTGTCATTTAGATTAAAAAATGAACTTTCGCTTAAGTTCATTTCTTTTTTTGAAAATCATTTAATAAATCATTTAATAAATTGTCATGTAAAACTACCCCCGCACCTCTGCACCCCTCACTTCTATTCAAAAAGGTGACATCCGGGTGCAATGATTTTAATTTACAATCGAACAGTACAAATTTCAAATTGAACAATTGTCAGATTATGGTTTTTTACTGTGTGTGAGTGTGAAAGAGACAAAATAGTATGTGTTACGTAATACTAAATCAATTTCAAGGGTATAGATATATATATTTTTTTACAATGGTGGCGCGACGTGTTGATAAAGTAACTGTCAGAATGAGACAACTGGAGATAACGTAAAGTATGATAACCGTTCACCAAATTATTTTTATTCTTATTATTATTATTATTATTATCATACTTTCTGTTTTTCTTATGTCTTGGTTTTTCTTTCTCTTTTTTTTTGTTATTGTTGTTTAATTCATTTTGCAAATAAATAATCGAACAAGAAGAAGAAGTTAGAATGGTTATGAATCAAATTAAATGTTAAATTTTAACGTTGTTGATGAAAAATAATTGTAATATTTATTTTTCTATTAATATATTTAAAATAATTCCATTTGTTGATTGAAAATAAAAAAGAAAGAACAAAATAAAATAAAATATTTGACATTTTTAAAGAAATACAAAATATTTCTTTGAAAAATACAATTAAACAAATCAAAAGTTCAATTAAACAAATTTAATTAACGATTTTTACAATTTGCATAATTTCCTTTTTTATTTATTTCTTTATTTATGATAAATAAATAAACAAATAAATAAAAAATTAAAAAAAATAATAATAATTATAAAAGTTTTTTATTTATTTCTTTATTTATAATAAATAAATAACTAAATAAATAACTAAATAAATAAATAAATAAATAATTGATAGGGAAGAATGAAATAACAGACACGTTGAACGAAATTGGACGATTTTGAAAAAAGGATTTTTTTATTTTTATTATTCCCGTTGACCTGAACAATAGAAAAAATATATTTAAAAAATAGAAATAAAAAAAAAAGGAACGAAGAAAATAATTCGGAATTTCCATTTGTTTTTTTTTTCTTTTCATGTTTAAAATTGTACACATACAACGTCGATGAACTGAACTTTTTCTTTTCTTTTTTTTTTTACTATTTTTAACAACGCATGCAGCAACGCGACGAGCGTAAAAAAATACGAAGAAGATTACGTTTGATTAAAAATGGCGGAGAAGTGGGGTTTGTCAGTGGGATGAGTAGAAGCAAAAAAAAAAAAAAAGAGAAAAATCAAATGAAAGAAAAAGCAAACGAATTCAAACTAATGGCAAATGTTATCAATGCGAAATGATTGTGTGTGTTTTTTTTTTCGAGAAACCACGAAAGGTCGAGTTAATCGATAATCGATATACATATTTCGATATGAGTAACCAGCAGATACCGCCATTTTTTTTATTCTGTTTTTTTTTTATTTGTCTATTATAATGCAATAAATTTGTCCCAAGTTCTCAGATATAAAGAGAAAAGGATTCGAGGAATAAACCTAGCAACTCTAACCTAAAAAAAAAATAATCAGTACCACAACTAAAAACATGGCGTCTTTTTAGGTTGTTCATTAATTAGTGATAACAAATTGCAATTTTATTAAAGTACCGTGTTTTTTTTTTTATTATTATTAAAATTAATTTTTATATTTTTTTCAATTATTATTAAAAGAACAACGCGAATATAAAATAATAAAAATAAAAATAAAAATAGGAAAAATAAGAAAATCAAAATTATTTGATTTTTACTAATAAGAAATATATGTTTAAAATTATTTAAAAAATTGAAAAACAAAAATATAAACAATATAAAAATATTTAAAAAATATAAACAATCAACTATCCAAATAATTTGATGTTTACTTTGTAATAAGAAAAATATGTTTGGGACAAAAACAAACATGTTTGATTTAATTTTACGCTCGTCGTTTGCGACATGTCATTATTTAACATTGTCATTATTTATACATATAATTATTATTAATTTACTTGCATTTGTTTAATGTTCACATTCCAGTATTTTCCGATTACATTATAAATGTTCTTCTTATTTTTGTATTGGGATCTCTGGCAGGGATCGTGGCGTAAGAAAATTCGACTTATCTACTCTAATTTTGAATTTAGCCACCAGATAGCGTATTCAATTGCAAGAGATCTTCCACGTGACGTAGCAATTCGACCTATGTACTCTAATTTTGAATTTAACCACCAGATAGCGTACTCAATTGCTAGAGATCCCACGTGGGGTAGGAATATTCGAATTATGTACTCTAATTTTGAATTTAACCACCAGATAGCGTATTCAAGTGCTAGAGATCCCAATTATCATTTTTGTTTCTTTTATATTGATTTATTTATTTTAATCATTTTGTGTTTCATTTTAAAAAATATCAGAGTAAAAAGGTTAATTTGTTTTCTTCTCTTTAAGATAATATAATTATTGATTAATTAATTAAATTCGTTCGATTGGTACGATCATTGTGTTAATTCGTTCATTCGTTAATGGAATGCGTGATAATGCTAAATGAAAACATTAAAACGTATTCCATTTGCATACATATTTGGCATCTTTCAAGACGTTTTTATCGTACAAAAAAAAAAATAATAATCCTAACCTAACCTTAAATTCTAAAATTATTTATCTTAAACTTAACAACACGTTTTACAAAATATTTATATATATATGTATAAAACATATACAATTATGAGTAAACGTATAATTCATTGTACACATTCTTATAATAAAAAAAAAAAATAATAATAATAATAATAAAATAAAAATAATAATAATTACAATCGAAGAACAGTATGTTTGTTTAAAAAAAATTCATCGTAGAAAATTTTGTGCAGTTTCATAACAGATTTTCATTGAAATTATTTGTTGTTGTTGTTCGTTCTCCTTTTTTTTTTTTTTACTTTGTAAATTAATAATATATATTATAATATATAAATTAAAAAAAAAAGAGAGAGAATTGAAAATACAGAAATGTTTGGACGGATTTTGTACAGGTTTATACTGATACAATGTTTATATAAAAAAAAAATATATATATATATATATTTATATCAAATATTATCATCCATTGACGCGCATTAATATTATTTAAACATTTTTTTCATTGTTATATTATATAGATTAATAATTTTGTATATTTATTAAGATTAAACATTTCCCGTTTATTTTTTAAGATAATCTTATCAAATTTGATATAAACGAGTATATAAAAAAAAATCTCTCGTTATTCAAAAGTTATCAAAGTTGTTTGATATTATTTCATTAAAATACAATCTTACATTTATTATTTAAATGTATATATTGAAGATTGTGAACATTTTCTAGAATTAATGTTTGTCTCTTAATCATCATTAATCAAACAAATGATTAATAATGTTGTTTCATTTCTAACATTGTTTAAAATTTTCATAGAAAAAATAATAATAATAATAATAATAATTATAATAATAATACGAAAAAAAAATCAACGATTTATCAACAAACTGATAAAGAACATGATCAAACGAATATATTAATGCACTTTATGTTGCAATAATAATTAAATAAAAAAATTAAAAATATAAAATATGATATTAAAAATTAAAAAAATTGTTTATTTAATGATTGAGAGATAATACTCCTGTCCAAAAATAAAATCAAATCAAATAAAACTCCCATAATAGGAGAAATATAAGGAACGACGAAGTATTGCGGCAACCATTTTGTATTACAGCTACCATTTTGTTATGTTCGATGACCAATCGTTTTAGTTCATTCGTTCGTTCATTCGTTCGTTATAATAAACGAATTTAAATATTCGTTTTATATCAACGATTGTCTCGATAATATATATATGTATATATGACTCATTATTTTTCTTTTTTTCCATAATAATCCTCCATTTTATTACAACACACACATATATATATATATATATGTATGTATATTTCTCTTTTTGCAATTCTTTTTTTATTTTATTTTTTTTTTTTTTTTAACGCG